TATTTATTTATTTATTTATATGTATAAATAAATATTTATATAAATGTGTATGTATAAGTCAAAATTTCTGATTTGTAAAATGTAAAAGTTGTTTTGTTATTTTTGAAATAGGGTAAAGATAATGTAGGGAAAGTGAATTTTTCCCAAAAAAAAATCATGCAAATCCAATACTCGCGGGCCCTGTCTCGAACATGGTGGGGATTACCCGCTTAATCGGATATTCGGGGAGGGGACAGGTAAAGGATGCCCCTACCCCGCTTAATTTTTTTTTTTAGAATTCAATATGTTAAATGAAAAATTTCACGAAATTTCATTAGTTCTAATAAAAAATGGTAACTAAAATTATTTATCTCAATCTAATAAATGGGGCAACAAAATAAATTATCAAAAACTTAAAAAAAAATTAAATGAGGTAGTAAATGGAGCAAAGACCCCGCCCCGCCTTCAACTCGCATAACGGCATCATTTTGCTTGATCAAAGTGTGACTCGATCAGGGGCAGAACCATGAATATTGTTTAGTACGAGTAGAATTTAATCAAATCCGAACTTTGAGTTTTTGGCTATGGAGTTAATGATGATAAAAATATAAAACAATATTACGATAATATTTATATTATTAGCATTGTTACATTAAAATCCACTTTATTCGATAGCTCCACATCAATAATTTTTACAATCAAGTTTCTTTGAAAGGAATCTCTTCATTTGGATTAAAACATTAGTGCTACTAAAAATGGTTTCAAGTTAGTCCGAAATCAAGTTAGTTGAGATTGAATCAAGTTACAGAAAGCATATTCTACCCTCAATTCAAGTTACAGAAAGAAAAACAAGCATAACACAAAAACTCCATTTTCAGTCACCTCGCGTTTCTATCAAGACCACTAACCTCAAAACCAAACCAAGAGGCACTAAACAAGCATTTTAAAACTTACCTCAAGCAATTTAAAACTATCACAAAACAAGCATTTCACAAAACCAATACCACAACTAAAATAACATTGAACCTTTTAAAACAATACAATCCACATACCACATATCTTAGTTTCAAACATTAAAAAAATCAAAATAATAAAGAAAAAGAAAAGAAAACAAGTCCTTGCAGAAATATTTAATTTGAGTTCTAGGAGGCGAGAGAGAAAGTACGAGGCGCCGATGTTCAGTGGTGGAAGGCGGCGAGAGACAAGAGTTAGAGGTTGAGGCGCCGAGCAAAGTCACGGAGAGCTGAGAGAGAGTAAAATTTGTGGTTTGAATGCGTGGCATCTATGTGGATAAGTTTTCTCTTGGGCTGCTGAATTGAAAAAGTCGAAATTACTCAAAACCCTAATTTTCAATATCCATATTCAAAAATCAGATACAAGTTTCATTTTTCAAAAATCGGATATTTCATGTTTAATTAAATATTAATGATACAAGTTTCATCACAATCCTAATTAATTTTCCCCAAACCCTAGCAACAATTCTCAATATTCTTCATCCTCCTTTCTTCTCACCGTTATCTCTTCTCACTCTCTCTACCTATCCTCATCGGCGACGCCATCTCCGTCGAAAGCCCAGCCTCACACCATCGCTGCTATACAGCACCTTCACAGATGGCGTAGCCTCGCGAGATACCACTTCCACAGACGGCGCAGCTTTCTCCTCCCTCTCTGCCGACAGACCAACCTCTCACCATCGCAGCGATATGGCACGTCCACAGATGGCGCAGCCTCGTGAGATACCAGAAGAGGCTATGCCACCACGTGAAGGTCACCGATCAGAACCACCGCTCTCGCAGTGGCGTTGTGCCATCGTGGTTTTGAGATATTTTGGGTGTGAAGGATGGTGACCACCCTAGATTTGGTTATTTTTGTTTGTTGGTGGTGGTGGTTTCCATGGTGTGGTGATGTTTGGGTAGTTTTAGTGGCGGTGGTAGATCGGGAACTGTTGATGGTAGATCTAGAGTTGGTGGTGATGGATTTGGCCATTGTGATGGCATGTTTGTGCTCTGTGTCCTGATTTGGTGGTTGTGCTATAGAGGTGAGGTGGTGTTGGTGGATCTGGCGTGACGTTCTGCCATGTGCCAATTTGTTTGAGATAGTGGTAGTGGTTCTGGTGGCGACATTGGCGGTGGTGTTAATTTGTTTGAGGTGGTGGTGGTTCTGGTTACGACATTGGCGGCGGTGTTGCTAGAGGCAATAGTGAGGTGGTTGTCGCAAGTGTTGTGCAGTGGTTGTGTTTGACGAAGGTGTTGTGTGTGGTATCGTTACGGTGGCGATGGTCATGGGTGGGATGAGATGGGGTGGGTGTTTGTGACCAATTATTTGGTTGATTGTAACTAATAATTGGTTAATTTTTTACAAATAAACAATATGTGACCTAAAAATTGTAATTGTAACTTAATTTATTAAGTTGTAATTGAGTTGTGATCAATAAAATTTTTTATTCGTGATCGAGAAATAACTTGTGACTTATAAAATTCTTGATTTGTGATCAGGAAATAAGTAGCGACCAATAATTTTATAATTTGCAATGAATAAATGAGTTGTAATCAATAAAATTTTCGATTTGTGATCGAGAAAAAATTTGTGACAATAATTTGATAAATTTGTGACAATAATTTGATAAATTGTGACGATAAGACGTTTAGTCCAGTGGCAAAGATCACTATAGTACGAGTACTAATAGCATTAGTAGCAAGTAAGTCCTGGAAGCTATGGTAGATGGACGTGAAAAACGTGTTTCTCCATGGAGAACTTGATTGAGACATATACATAGAGCAACCACAAGGATTCGGGAATAAAGAAAAGTCAAGATATGTATGCAAGCTAAAGAAAGCTCTCTATGGATTAAAGCAGGCACCACGACATTGTACGGTAAAATAGCAGAAATTTTTAGTTCAAAGCAGATACTAGATAGCACAATTAGACTCGAGTTTATTCATCAAAGCATAAAGTGAAAAACTAACAATAGTGCTAGTGTACGTGGATGATCTCATCATCACTGGAAATGACAAAAATAAAGTCCTACGAACCAGAATGAATCTATCAGTGAGATTTTAAATGAAAGAGCTTTGAGAGCCAAATCATTTTTTGGGACTTAAGATGGAAAGAACAAAAGAAGAGTTATTCTTGTGCCAGAATAAATAAGCCAGAGATCTCTTATAGAAGTTTGGTATGATCTCCAAGCTTTGTGCAGATGAAGGTAATGATTTGGATAATGCAACCATGCATCGACAGTTGGTGGGGAGCTTAATATACTTGATGTTGACACGACCTAATATCGTATATGTAGTTGGGATGGCAAGCCGCTTTATTGAAAAGCCAAAGAAGCCACACCTTGAAGTCATGCGATGGATCTTAAGGTATGTAAAAGAAACAATTGATTATAGATTATTTGACAAGAAAAATAAAGATTGCAAGATCGTTGGCTGTTGTGATGCGGGCTATGCTGGATGTCGAGATATACAAAGATCAACAACTAAGTACGTGTTCAACCTAGGGTCAGCTACAGTTTCATGGTGCAGTAAAAGACAATTATCTGTGTCCTTGTCAAATGCAGAGCAGCATCAATGACAGCTCAAGAAAGTATATGGCTAACATAATTAATGAAGGATTTACATCAACAATTAAGTTATGTAGATCAATCAGCTATTCGTATAACAAGAAATCTAGTATGCTATGCAAGAACGAAACACGTTGAAGTGCACTATCACTACGTCAAAGAAAATGTGCTTAAAGGGAAGATCGACTCGAAGCATATCGATACTGAAGAACAAGTCACATATGTTTTAACGAAAGGACTCAGTACTTCAAAATTCTAAGAGTTTCGAACACAATTGAGGATTATAAAAAATGGAAAATTAAATCAACGAGTCGATGTTGAAGGAGAGAATTGAAGATTCACGACTGACTTAAAAAGAAGACTTTAGATTTTTGTGGGATGTTCATCTCAATCCATTTCTTGAGCTTCTTCTTCAAGCAACCAAGAAAAATCTAGACATTTTGGAGGAGAGCCATCGCCCTAGAATCATTTACCATCGACTTTTCACATCTATTATATATATATATATACACACACACACATACACACACAAGGCCACTAGTAATATTATATGCTCAATTTTAATCCTCGCTATACAACACATGCACGGTTGTGCGCACAACCGTGTATATATATATAGTGAGTGTGTCCAAAATGGTATAAAGTGCATTTCTTCAATAAAATTATATTTTAATTTGTGAGCTTAAAATTCAACAAATACTACATACTCAGTTGTAACCTGTTAGGTGATAAACCTGAAGTCCATTACTGGTGACTATCGTGAAAGGGTTTCGATGCCATTTCCCATGTTCACGAAAATATATTTGAATTAAAATCACTGCAAGTGTACGGTTCGTTAACAAATAATAAGGGAATTTTGAGTCCAAATATCGTCCCACAAAAATTGATTTAATTCAATTTTAATTATTGCGATCTTAACTAAAATATGAATAATATAATGTGTTTGTTTGTGACAAAATTATGACTAAAATAATTTACTTGTGCAATTATGAGTAAATTAACTAAACTAAATGCAAATTGACGTATTTAATAAATGACAAACGCACTAGAATCCCGAATCTCATGCAATAATTATTTTTAATCCTAGTTCTACATTTTGACAATACGATTGAATTTTGACGAATCAATATTCCTATTTTATTTAAAAATCTCTCTTGAGCAATGTTAAACATACTCTCATATATGACCCGATTATATTTTTACGATGTATGAGATTATACAAAAATGCATGAATATTATCACTTAAAAATTCACATAAAGTATAGCGGTATATTTTTATCTCCTATTGAATTCTATGACAATTTACACCATGTCAAACCTATTTTTTCTTTCGAATGCATAAAATAAGCCACCAAATTCATATAATTACCGTGCACAATAATCACGAAGAAAAGATAATCATTTAAATCATTCAAAATCTAAAAACGTGATATCAATGTCAAATTATGTAAAACTAAATATTAAAAATTCATATAATAAGGTTCATCATTCTCCTAACACAAATAAATATAGCCTAACATGTTATAAAGAAAAAAGTAAAAGATATAAATGTTGTTCATCTCCCGAAAATTCTTGAATTCAATTTTGAACCACTTGGATTTGATCTTGATTTGTCCTTTGCCTCCTTATGCAATTAATTCTCTATATCATAATTATTTTTTGAGAGTTAGTATTTATATCCCTCTAAAGAGTCTCAAAAGATCTCCGAAAATCGTGCATATCATGGCCCAAACGAAAGTTTTCTTATTGGAATTGAATTCTAAAGGAAACATAATTTTCTTTTCCGACTTAGCCTGGGAGAGCTCCCAATAGGAAATGGGGCAGTCACCCAATCATACCAAACAACCCCTATAATTAAAGTTTAGGGTTGGGTGGCCTATAACTGGGCGGTTGCCAAATTATAAAAACTTTTTGAATTTTTCTTTTAGTTGTTTTCTTCATTATTTCTTCCATCTTGGTCCTCCACATTAAATTATTTCGATTTTAGTAAATTTTACTCAAATGCATGCCAGTCCCCAAACTACCATCCATTAGCCAATTGATCCTTCTTTCTTTTCCACTTGCTTGGAAACGAATCCAAAACTAAAACAAGATAAAATTAATCCAAGTTAAGTAAAACGCAATACTAAAACGACACAAAAATTTAGTAACATAGCCCGATTAAATGCACAAAAATGCACTTATACCATTTTACTAGGTCTTCATAATTCCATTGAATGTGTGAGATGCATGTCTGTTTGTTTGGAGCCCAGGAAACAACACCACCAACAAGGTAAAAACATGTTTTTTGTTCTCCGATGAGAAACATGGAAAGAATTTGATCCATATTGTAGTTAAAAACATGTTTTTGTGAGGCAATTAATTGACTTCAGAAATAAAAGGTTAGAGTTCTGTGAACATAACTAGTCAAAGAAATAACGTTCATGCTACAACCCTTTATTCAAAATGTAAGACATGAAATTTTCTTCAGCACATTGGAAGCCAGGTGGGACTTTCTTCCCACAATTGTTAAGAAGAAGCCTAAGTGAGACAGGAATATTAAGGACGATTCCTAAGATATTAGATTTAATGGCAGTGCAATGGCAAACAGCTGCCTCAGCATCTGTAAGTGTTATGCCCTAGGTCCAATCAATTATGGACATAAACACATTGAATATATATATATAATTAATGCATATGTATGGCAATATCTATTATTTAATTTAATTAATATTCTAATAAATTAAATAATAGAATCCGTAAATTCAAGTTTTGGTGATTTGTTAATCACAAGGAGTTGTGATTGTGAGATACAAATTACATATGACTGAATCTTAAATCGTCCGTGGTCGAAGTAATAACGAGATACGGATATCGTTATTACGGATA